CTAAGCAATTTTTGGATATTTAAATTCTGCAGTTAACTCAACAGATCCCCCACTAAGATACTTCTAAAATTTAATGGTAACACTTTCTACCCATACAATTATAAAATTACTGAGTCTTTTGTTTGAAAATTTCTTGTTGAATTTGTCATTTCTATGTGAACTGCTGGGATGAGGAGTTATCATTATTTACATGTGGACTATTGTCTTCATCTTTCTTGTTTTTATCATAATGTTTTAGCTGTTGTGCCCTCCGACCTTAATTAGGTGTTTCTAGATCTAGGTAACCTACAAGGAATTCTGAACCGAACACTTTATTTAATTTACGGGGGTTGACTGTTATCATTCCACTGCCCATCTCTAGAGATGTCTCATTTTTTTAGTACTGCTCAGTTATTGCTTGCCCTCTTTCCACTGTGTCCATATACACACTCCCCAGCCCAGGGATTGAACTCACTATTACTATGTCACCAAATTCACAAACCAATCCTTTAATCCACTGCGATATAGCCAAGCAATAACCAATCAGTACCGACATTTTGAATTATTCATATACATGCACAAACTGTGTACAATGTTTAGATTTACAAGGGAGTATGGAACAGTACTACAATGAATATGTTTTAAGGTATTTTACAAACTCTTACCTATTTAACAATATTACAGTAATTAGACACCAACATGTACTAGTAAACCACTATAGGTTAAACAGATTAATTTGGACTTTGTAACACTTTACAATGAATTGCGGTAGACATTCAGCCATTTTATTTGTTAGCTTATTTTTTATCACCACTAATACTTAGATTGGTTTTATTTCTTATGTAAAATTTTTTTTCTTTTCTTTTTTTTCTTTCCTTTTTCTTTTTTTATTAGAAGCAAAGTTTCTCATTTCAAGATTTGCTAAACTTAGTTTATAGTACTTAGTTTATAGTATTATTACGTTTTTGCTTCTTCTATGAGAACACCGAAGAGAAGATAGTCTGATTTGATAGAAGATTTCATATATCTATCATTTTATCTCACAGCTCTGATGCACTTCCAAGTTTTTTGTGCATAAAGTGCAGCAGTTGTCTGTCTGTCTTCTGATCTGTCCAATACAGATTGTTTTAATCTGTGCACAAGTCTTTAAAACTCTGATTTATCATTGTATGGCCTTTTTTTTTTTTTTTTTTTTTAACTTCACCCCCAAGCAGTGCAATAGTCATTTAGATGCAAGGGGTTACTGAGTGTTACAGAATGAGAAAAATACTATTAAGTGAGAACAATAAAAGAAAAGGAATCAAGGAGACAGAAGATAATGGTTGACATTACATTTAAATTTTTGAGTATCAAAGTTGACTGGAAAGCAAGAAGCCAGAAGAGTTTCACAAGTAAGTTTGATAGAAGAAACTGTTAGCAAAGAACTTGCAGTTACATCTCGTCATTTCAACTGTAAAATGAGATCTTGCCACCAATCTAGTACTGTGCTTAAATTCATAAAGTCTAGGTACCATAGAGGAAAGTACATCAAAACAATTGCCAAATAAGTATTTATAGAAAAGGCATAGGGAAGCTACATTATGGTTGTGGGAAAGTGACTGAAGCTGAGATGCCAAGTCAGGACCAATAAGGATGAATGGTAAACTTATAAATATGTAAAATAGATTGTTGAGAAAAATTGTCTAGCATGACACGGTGAACCAACCTTTTTAGCAGCAGATCTTACAATTTATCTAATATAATCTTTCCACTTCATGTTGGCAGAAAATGTTAGCCTGAGATGTTGTAATGTGCCCCTCTCCTGGAAGTTAGCATCAGCCATACTGATTAGTTAGTAATTAATTTAACATAACATTAAATTCATTCAAAGCTTTTCACAACATTGGAAACGAAAATTTTGATGATTGTTTTCTCATTTATAGAGTTTTTTGTTTGTTTTTTTTATCAAGAGGTTTCTTACAAAGTTTTGTTTCAAGAAAAAATTCAACAAGCTTGATTTTTAATTTTTTTTTTCTATTTTTTTCACTCTTGTATATTTACTTTTTAGACTGATTTTTAAAAAAAAATCTTTCCATTTAGAAGTACTGTTTATATTTTACTCTTTTCCTATTGCCAAACTGGGAAAAGATTTACTAAGCATGACACAAGGCCACAAGTATAGTGCATCCAGTAAGGATCACTCAGTAGTAATGATTTTGAGGACAAGCTTTGCTGTTATTTTCTAGACTGAAAATAACTTGTCCAACTTCATCTATGTTACGTATATTTACATATTTTGATGTAAATTTTTAAAATGATTTTAAATTGCTTTGAAATTTCATAGATATATAGGAGTCATTATTAAATAAAAAGAAATGACAGCAAGGCTTTAATAACAGCAGCAGTAAAAAAAAAAAAAATGTGAATACAGTGTCAAGAATTGGTAAGTGGCACTTGGGAACAAAAGCCAAGTGGATGAAAGCATTGGCTCATGAATTTGGTGACATAGTGATTGTGAGTTCAATCCTGGGCTGGTTAATACATACTTAGACTTGGTTGAAATAGGGCAAGCAATAACTTTGCAGTACTAAATAAGATAAAAGTATTAGATAACAAGATATCTCTAGATGTGGTCAGCATAACTCTGACAATCTGTAGATTAAATAAAGAGTTCTGTTCTAAATTCACTGAAGGTTATCTAGGTCAACAAGCACTTGATGGAGACTGAAACATTGTGATAATAATGAGCTGAAGACAATTGTCTGAGTGTAAATAATGTAAATAACGATAACTCATCATCCCAGAAATTCAAACAGAAATTCCATAAGGGTTTTGGCAAGATCTCATTTTACAGTTAAAATGGCTAGATGTAACCATAAGTTCTATAAGTTTCTTTTCTTACACTTTTCACTTATGGAACTCTCTTCCAGTTTCTTGCCGGAAGTTTGTCAAGTTTGATCTTGAAAAATGCAATGTCAATCATTATCTTCTATCTTAATTCCTGTTCTTTTATTCTTGCTCCTTAATAATATTTTGATTTTTCTTATTCTTTCACACTTTGTACCCCCAACCCTTTTACTTGGGGTTAAAACATTGTTTTTTTGCAACACAATGTTTTGTTAGTGAAACCAAATACAAGAGGGCACTGTAAAGTTCTTAACATGACTAATTCTTTAGATCTGGCTATATAACCAAACATCAAATTCTTTGTTGGAAGGATTTCTTGGTTAGACCAAGCACTTTTCAGCACTCCCTGTATGTTATTCAAAATAAATAATTCAATGAATAAAGAATGAATAATTATACTAAAGTGTCATATTAAGAAATACTAATTTGAACATTTTGCATCTCATGCTTTTCTCCTGAAATCTAACCCTGAAAGTAAACATTTTAATAAAATAAAAATTAATATCAAAGTTTATTTAAATTTCTCTATGAATAAAAATTAGAAAAAAAAAAAATTTCTAACAAACTTTTGCTGTAAATCTGTTCTTAATAGCTGAAATAATATTGCGTTCTTAATGGCTGAAATAATATTGCGTTCTTAATGGCTGAAATAATATTGTACTCGGTGAATGTGAAATGAACCTTGCTGAGAATTTTTGATTTTGTTAGAATCCAAATCCTGAGAAAAATCTGGATTGTTTGTCAGTGAATTCCTTTTATTTGATTTTTATCATCACCAGTTACATTGTAGTTTCTTTATGAATTTTTTTTTTTTTTGGTGGGGGTCTATATAAGTATTAACTGTTATTAAGATTAACAACACCTCCTAAAAACATTACAATGAAACTAGTTTTAACCCATGAATATTTAGGCTTCCTATTTGAAATTCCATACCTGATAGTGATTTTCCAAGTGTAGTTTGGATGTGGCACAAGGCCGAAAGTAAGGGGCACCCAGTGAGAATTGAATTCACTACTTAGTCGTAATTGTTCTAGCGAGACAAGCTTGCTAACCATTACACCACCTCGAGGTGCCCTTGATTTTCCAAGCATAGCTTGGGTGTGGCACAAGGCCAAAAGTAAGGGACACCCAGTGAGGATCGAACTCACTACTTATTCGTAATTGTTTTAGCAAGACAAGCTTGCTAACTATTACACCACCTCAAGGTGTCCTAATTTCATACCTGATAATCAGGTTTTTTTTTTTTTTTTTTTTTTTTTTTTTTTTTTTTTTTTTTTTTTCTTTTTAACAAGACCTGTCTGCAACAAGTTTCTTTCAAACAAAATACAATTTTAAACTTTTTTTAAAATTTAAAATCTTTTTACCTTGACTTTCTTGAGTTATTAGTGAAAGAGGGTTTAGGAAGGAGGGCTTGGAAAATTTGATACTTACAAAGATTGAAGACAAGAGAGAGAAAAACAGAAATAAACAATGCATAACCTACCTGGTGAATTTGAGTGAAGGGATTACATAACAGGGTTTGAGAAAGACAAAATTTATTTAGACCTACGAAGGATAGGAAGTTGTAGAGACCGATGCTCACTAACGTCCTGAAGGCACACAGCACATGGAAGATAGATGAGTGAATATTACATTTGTGATTAACAATAATTTTCCATATACAACTACTATTTAATTCATAGATGGGAGGGGAGAGATGGATTCATTTTATTCCCAAATGAATGTAACAAACCTAACTGAAATTCAAACTCTGCTCTCTGATTTCTCATTCTAAGCTTATGTTCATTACATCACCTACACATCCACACCTTAAGAAAGCCAAAGGGTATAATGGGTGAAACATTGTGATCTTAAAAACAAAGATGGGGTCATTAATTCGACAGTCTCTCATTCCAGAAATTCAGACAAACTTTTGCTTTTCTATTTTTTTTTTTTTTTTTTTCCCCCCACAGTTTTTCCATCATAAAAAGCTAACAAATTATATTGTTTAACATGATGTACATTCAATTTTTTTTTTCCTTTTTAATTTCCAGGTGTCCGTCATAAGAATGGTTGTGTTGGACCTTGATATGATAAGCATGGAACTTCCAGAAGTGACTTTCCAGAATGTTATCCGTTGGGGTTCTGCATCAGCTATGATGTTTGGGGGTGTTGTACCCTTTATCCCACAGTATGCTGATATCAAACGGTCATCAAATGTTGAGGGTTTCTCTACATTTGTCTGCTTAACACTGCTGGTAGCCAACATCCTACGAATAATGTTCTGGTATGTATGAACATTTTTTATTTCTACTTCAAGCTTCTTTTGTTTTCTTGCATTTTCCTAAATTTTTGGTTTCCCTTTTAAAGAATATATACACACATTATCCGCTTCTAATTTTTAGGTCTCTCTCTCTCTTTTTGTTTTTCTCTTTTCTGTTTTTCTTTTCCCTTTTCCTTTTTCTCTTTTCCTTTTTCTCTTTTTCTCTTTTTCCTTTTTCTCTTTTCCCTTTTCCTTTTTCTCTTTTTCTCTTTTTCTCTTTTCCTTTTTTTTTCTCTTCTTTTTCTCTTTTCCTTTTTTTCTCTTTTTCTCTTTTCCTTTTTTTCTTCTTTTTCTCTTTTCCTTTTTTCTCTTTTTCTCTTTTCCTTTTTTTTCTCTTTTTCTCTTTTCCTTTTTTTCTCTTTTTCTTTTTCTCTTTTCCCTTTTCCTTTTTCTCTTTTCCCTTTTCTCTTTTCCCTTTCCTTTCCTTTTTCTTTCTCTCTTCTTTTTTCCACTTTTTTCCTTTCTCCCCCCACTTCTCATAAAAATTAATAACAAACTTTAGTTTAAATCAGAAAATATTATACTGTATTAAGAATTAAATAGTGTATAGATTTAATCAGAAGATGCTGTATATGTGAATAAAATTCATATATAATTAGATTATGCTTAAAAGTTCTTAGCTTCACCGACTTCTTAAAACTCGATAACCAAATTTTTGTTTTGTTTGTGTCTTGGCTGGGCTGAGAACTCTTCAGCACCTCTTTAGTTTTATGGAGTTATGCTAGGTGTAAGTACTGATAATCTCAGTTATCTTTGCAAAGAGTGGAAGGTCTTATCCATCATTGAATATGATAACCTTTGTTTATTTGACTATTGATCATGTGTATAATAAAAATAAAAAAAATGGACAGAGAAAGACTTTATAGTCTTGGTGCGACTTAAAAATATAATCCAAAATATTTTAATTCTGAAATTTTTGAGATTAGGAATTAGTACCAGTTTGCCCATGTTATCAGAAGAAAGAAAATAAATGATTAGCAATATTTAAGCATTATTGATTACAATATTAAAGCAATATTAATACAATATTTAACTTTACAATATTAAAGCAATATCATAATTGCATTTTAACTCTTTAGTATTCAAGACACTCAAACTGCCCCTGTAAATATTGGCTTTCAAAGTCTCACTATTTGTGTGACTCCTCTCCTTGTTATTTGTGATGATTTTGTCATCTAGCAGAGTATATATGATGCAGCCCGGTTTAGAGCAGCTGGAGCATTGAGAACTGATATTTATGGGGCAGGCTGAATGAAAATGGAAACAAAAAGAAAACTTATACTTAACATTGAAATTTATAGAGCACATAATGAGGAAAGAGGACTTGGAAAATCTGATACTCACAAAGCAGTTTGAAGGCAAGAGTGATAGGAAAACAATGCATAACATAATTAGCGAGCTGGAGTAAATGGATGGCGGAACAGGGTTTAGGAGAAATAACAAAAAAGACAATTTAAGATTTACAAAGGAAATTGTGGAGAGCCATGATTGCCTATATCCTGTTAGGACATGGCACATAAAGAATGCTAAAGGGTTAGATATCAAACATGCATTACTCTGCATTTTCTTATTTCATTTCAATACTTCTTGAATAATGTCATTCATATACAGGACTGTTTTGCTCTATCACAGCTTATCATTGCAGCTAGACATCTGATTGCTTCAAGCCGGGACCAAAACCCGACCAATTTGGCATCAGTCGGTGTTTCTACCCATGAGTTATCAGCACATGGCAAAGGGAAATTCTAGCGTATTATTTTTTACGAATGTAAACAAATACCAGACAGCCATAGTGCTCGATTCATTAAACTAATCAAATAACATTCTATTCATCATTGAATAATTCAGTTCTATATCTCCAGAAGAATACCAAGTATCTCTGTGATGTAGAAAAATGTAAAACAAAAAAAAATATACCCACCCACACATTATCTTTTGTTAAATGATGGGTGTGAGACATTTGAATAAATTATGTCCAGGTGGAATACATGAAAGCCAGTTGGATGTTGAAAATTTTTATTTTCGCATTGGCATTTCACTATTTTATGTGAGCATTTTCAAAACATAAGTGAAAAAAAAACAACTAAGGAAAAATCATTACCGTAGCAACCTTGTTATATAAAAATGATGTAGTCCATATATATATATATATATATATATATATATATATATATATATATATATATATATAATAACATAACAGGATGAAACATAGGAAAATAATGAATGGAAGAAAATTTTGGTGAGACAAAAAATAAATTGCATATATCCAAAGAAAATCGTTAATACTTCTTATTAAAAAAGATATATGATGTGATTACCGTATTTTCTTGTGTATAATATAAAAAATTTTGAATGAAAATGTCAAAAAGCTGAGGCTTATATTGTACACATTTTCAGAAAATTTTACTCTGCTTAAAAATCCTCTTATTTGAAATGGCAAGATTGCAAATCCACTCAGCACAATAGATAATAAAACAAAGGTGTTGATAACAATTCTTTATAAAAGGTTTGAATGTCTTTTGTCTCAAAGACCTGAATTTCATCAAAATTGAAAAAAAAAATAATTAATAAAGAGAATATGCAAAGTCTGTCATGTTTTTATAACATTAATATTACAACAAAGACCTAACTATTGTATAAATCATGTACTTTTTAAAAAAATTTTTCTGCTTGAAAAATGGGGCAATAATTTTCATGCCATGAGGTTGTTGTTTCATGAACCTCTGTTTGACACAAAGTATCCAGTTTAATAACTTTAAATGTTTTGAGAAAAATAAAACAATACAAAATAGATATATAAACAACCCTCACATAATTATATCATTATATGATGTACTCTGGTACTTGTAATTTTAAATCACAAAATCTTATGATAATTTATGTGGATATGACATTTAGATTTTAATGTATAATGATACTTTTCAAAAAAAAAAAATTACATAGGTCTAGCTGTAATGCTATTTATTTTTTTATTTTATTTTATGATTTTCACCCTGTAAAGGCCCAAGAGCCATTCGTGGTAGTGTTGCAGAGTAAGAGGTGCAGTTTATAGGGATATGTGAGGAAGATAACAATTAATTCTAAACTTGAACAGGTTAAGATTGTAGTGATTGGAGAAGCATTCTCTTGGGAGTTGGTTCCACAAAGTAGCAATTGTTGGGGGGGGGGAAGCTGATCGAGTGGGACTTACATCTCACCAATAAAATATGAAGGGAGTAAAAGTGGTTCACTACAAAGGGCATGGCATGAAGTGATGGTTAGAACTGGTGGAACTAAGGAATGTAGTTCCTCTGAACACTCTATGGAAATAGCAATAGAGTAACATTGCTAAATTTCATCTATAGTAAAGGAGTTGTATGATTGAAAATAATTCATGGTCCACAAGGACATGGAATTCTTTTGGACTCTATTGAAACTGTAAAGTGAAGACTGTGCAGCTCCTGCCCATTTATGACAGCAGTATTCCATTTTTGGCCTGATCTGGATCTTGTAAAGGTGATGACAGGGGAAGTCAGGTACTTATTGGAGTGGTACAGGGAAATGACTGTTTTACCAGCATCTTTATTGATGGATCATATGTACAAGTTCCACTTGAGGTATCAAGGCATAATACCCATTCAATTTAGGGTCCACTTGATGATGGAATGTCTCATTTTTGAGGCATTGAATGTGACCAGCCAGTTTTTCTCCTACCAAGCTGTTAGAGCTTGATCAGAGGAGAGATCAGCTGCCAGACTCTGGTAATCTAGTTTTAGAGGTGCACTCATATGGGTATGTCTAGAACAAGATAACCTGACAAAGTCCATCTTTATGAACTGGTTTTAAAGTCATCATTCTTATAGACTTGTTGCCTTTCCAATGTTAAAGGGCTATGAAGATTATATTCATTGATGAAACAGACTGGTCTGGTGCTCACCTCAGTGTCCACTTTTATATCTGCATATGCTCTATCCCTGGTATTGAGCACTTTTATCCATAAATATAACATCTCTTAAAACTATATTATTATCATATATATATATATATATATATATATATATATATATATATATATATATATATATATATATTATTTTTTTTTATTATTTTTTAGTCAATTGAGTGTTGATAAGGTTTATTCATATTAAGTTAAATAACCAATTGGATTGCTCTTACAAATGCTTAGTTTTGAGTTTTAAAACTGAAAAATTATTGCTGTAGTAAAAATTGATAATTTCTACCTGAGAAAAATGGATATATCTATTTATTGATTTTATTTATTTATAGTATAATTTAACTTGCACCTGTTTGCTATTAACAGTTATGCACATATCTCAAATTCCAAAGATTTTAAGTTTTTCATCTCATAGCAAAAAGCATTTTCCAAACGGGGAGATTATAAAAATCTATCACTTCTGATAGATGTCTGAGATGCATTCATTGTCTTCAAATAATTTCAGAGAGATAGAAATTGCATATGAAAGTCATTGTCAAGTTGCAAATAAAATGATTCATATTTTAATATTTTGATCTCATTGTTAATTTCTATCTATTTTAATTCAATAATTTATTCATTGGCTACATTTAAAACCTGTACAAACATCTAGAAGTGACACTCACTCACTCACTCTTACTCTTTCTTGTAGATGGTACACTTTGGTTTTTATAGTCAAGAATGGGTTTAATATTTTTTTTTTTTTTTTTTTAATCAATTCACCCTAAGCAAGGTGATAATGCCACTAAGATGCAAGGAGCTACTGGGAGTGAAAGGTAATGATAAAACCTTAAAATGACTAGGGAGTTTGTGAACTGGACAATAAGTGAACATATCTACTCCTATTAAGTACTTATTACAATTTTTAATACTTAGTACTGTTATTCAGTACCAATGCTTATTAAAAAGGTTTATGATCAAATCATGCTGACAACACCAATTTTCATTTGATCACCAAAGTTAAGCAACATCAATCCAGTTCAGTACTTAGTTAGGGGACTACTATGAAACCTTAAGCAATTGGTAGCTAAGCTCCAGAAAAAAAACAAAAAAACAGTCCTACCTTTGGAATGCAGGTAGGTCTTAAGTCGTTGATTCATACAATGATCAATGGTTGTTTCATATCCAATCTGCTTGGAAGAGCATCACTTGATGTACAGTTTTTATTTTATTTTCTGAATAGTTTTCTGCTGGTCAAAAGTTCTGTTATTTAATTTTTTAATAATGAGGTTTGAATTGATGATTCCCTCTCCCCATTAAGTCCAGCAAATAAATTCTATTTTCATCTTAATTTTTCCTGCTCCATACACCTGTAGAGATTAAGTATGTGTGTGTATAAAGATTATAATTTGTTATATTAATTAATTCATGTTACTATTTTATTTTATTTAAAATTAATATTATTAATATATTAAATTAATTCATATAATAGACCCAACATTGTGAAAAGGGGTGATCTCTGATTAACATTGATATCAATGGAGCCGAATATAAAAGATCTCATATGGCAGCATCAACCATGGGGATCTCATTGAATAAATCTGCACTTTTTAATTTATTAATAACTCCCATATTTTAAAGTGGTTTATTATGAGTTATTTTACTAGTGTACCTAACTGTTCCATAGAATTTAGTTATTAAATACAAGTTTATTTTCATTAAATTAGTTTTACTTTAAAATAAAGCATATACATTACTATTTATTTTTTTAATACAATTCCTAAACCTACCTATTAGTGAAAATAAAAAAGCTTTTTTTTTTTTTTTTTCCCCTCCATTGAATGGTTATGGGTCCACCAAAAAATTAAAGAGTAAAAGTAATCCATGGGTAAAAAAACAAAAAAAAACCCTCATAGCATAGTAGTACAACTGTGGATCAAATCAAAATCTGCAGAGTGATGCCAATTTTTTGAATTTCAAAATAATAAAGAATTTCCAATTTCAAATATCTTTGATTTTTTTTTTTTTGATTTTTTTTTTTAAATTTTTCATAGCAAATCTAGCAACTTTTGACACTGTCAACTCACTGTACACTTATACAAGCCAAAATGAAAGTTGGTTTTGTTAAGTATGTTGATTTGTTTTCTCTTTAGTCTTTCAACTTTGTATCCAAAACTGACACAGTAAATGTCTGTTGGGACTCAAGCTATCCCAGACCTCAATCTGATCTATTGCAAAAGATGCTAGAAAAATTCTTTGCCAGTATGTATCTCCCTATCTTTACAAGAGCCAGATCAGACCAAAAATGGCATACTGCTGCCATATCTGGGCTGGAGCTGACCAGTCCTGTCTTGATAGTTCAAAAGCATCTATACAGCTTTGTGGGTGGTGAATTATTTTCCACCATACAATCCCTTTCCCACAGACAAAATGTTGCAAGCCTCTTTGTATTCTATCGCTATTTCCCTTTCTAGTGTTCTGCTGAGCTACTTTCCTTGATTCCACCAGCCATGGACCCACCATGTCACGTATGCTTGGATGAATCATCTTTATTCCCTTTCTATTCAATTAGTAAGAAGATCCACTTGGACAGATTCTTCCTAAGAACTGCTTTGTGGAACAGTCTCCCAGCAGAGTTCTTTTTTTTTTTTTTTTTTTTTTTTTTTTTTTCCAAACATGGCAATCTTGGCCTTTTCAAGTCTAAGATTAACTGTTATCTTCACTTCTTGCCTTTTCTAGAGGTTTACTATTGTATGAGTCTATCTTGATTGACTTTTGACCTTTGTATTGGGTAAACATTATTTTAAAAAAATAGATCAAAAACCCTGAAATTGTAGAGTAGCCTATGTCTGGATTAATACACTAGCAATAATGCTGGACGTTTAGTGGGAAGCACTGCATCTTGTTTGTTTTGGCTTTTGTTTTCCAAGAGGTTTAAAAGCACAAAGACTAATTGCAATGAATTTTGTTGAGGAAATGCCAAACTGATTTTATTTTGTTTGGTCCCAAAAGGTTAATATCCAAATAGTATTACCTTTGCTCCAAAAAAAGCCTTGTTTATCTCACACTGATAGCTAATAAAATTGTTCACTTGACAGATTGAGTAAACACTTTCTTAGACTGTAATTTATTTCCATCCACACCACACTGTTGTCCACTAACAACAGATGCTGCTTTTCTTCCATTCAATCTCCCAAGGTGGCTTTCTTTTTTTCTTTTTTCTTTTTTTTTTCTATACTTTTGATATTTTCTTTTCTCTTCTTCAGAAATGGGGTAAAACTTGCAATTTTTTTTATTTTTTTTTTTTTATTGACCTTTCAAACATCTTCATGGGATTCATTGATTTAATTTTCTTCCATGGAATTTTGTGACTGATATCTTTGGATCATACAAAGTTTGATTTTTGCTCTATCACACTTGTGCTCTCTACCCCCTTGAGGTTCACCTCCCTCACTTGGCCATGTTGTACTCTTTCTCTCTCTCCATGAAGGTCCCCCTTTCTTATCTGGGCATTTCCCCCTCCCCTCGAGGCTGACATGGGCATATAACCCCACCATTAGCTTCAAGGCTCATCTACCCAACACAAGAATGTGTCCCCACCTCCCAGCACTTTGAGGCTCACCTATCTTACACGGGCATGTGCTCCACACCACATCTCAAGGCTCACCTATCCCACTTGAGAATGTACTCAGTCTCTCTCCCCTTCTTGAGACCCTCCTCACAACTTACAGGAGTTGAATTAAAAAAAAAAATACCCTAAAAGAATCCGAGTCTGTTTTCCATGATTACAAATCATGTGATCTCTCACTTTGGACAAGAAATTTCAAAACACGTTTATATATATATATATATATATATATATATATATATATATATATATAAAAAAATTTTTTTTATACCAAACTTTTGTTACATATGTAATTGCTAAGTCTTACTTAGTCTATCACAAGCCACAAATGTGGGACACCTAGTGAGAACCAAACTCATTAACAGGAATGAGTCTGCGTGTTGATATGGCACTATTCTGATACTTTACAGGAATCTGAAATTAATCGTGTCTTTTGTTCTTGTTTCCTTCTCCAATTTTTTCTCCACCATCTTAACTTTTTTTTTCCTCTTTATGTCCCTTTCAGGTTTGGCAAATTCTATGAATTCCCACTGCTGTTTCAAAGTATTATAATGATATTTACCATGATTGTTATGATGCATTTGTGTGTGACAGTCAAAAATAAGACTGAAATTATTGCTTCCAAATCCAGAACATTCACAGGTGAGTTCTTATTTTTGCATCTTGTTGATAAACTCTAACCTTTTTGTGGTGTGGTTCTGATGACTGATGACCTAATAAAAATCTCTTCTTCACTAAAACAGCTCAGTTCATTTGATTTATGCTTATGCTTCAGGCTTTGATTTCATTTTGAAAGTCAACTTTAGAGAAACAATTTATGAAACAAAATCGTATTATTTGCCCAAATGAACTTCAAAAGCAATAGTTTTTTGTTTTTTTAATACTAATTGCAAATTTAAAAAATATTCCATTTTACCATTTAAAATTTTTAAGCTTGAATTCTTGATTTTAAAAACATTTAATATGAACTAATTCAAAACAATAACAAAGATGTTGATCTCACAAGCTATTCTAAATTTCCACCCTCTTTAAATGCTAAGTAAATAATTTTTTTTTTTTTTTTGTTTATTAATTCATCTCATCTACAGATTGGGACACTTCAACATGGTGTAATAGTTAGCAAGCTTGTCTCACTAGATCAATCATGACAGAATAGTTTGATCCTGACTGGGTACCCCATACTTTGGCCATGTGTCATATCTAAGCTACGCTTAGGTAAACATCTCATCTGCAGATTGTCTTTTGCATGAGTTGTCAACTGATGCTGTATCTCTCTGCTTTTTGTTTCTTAGTCCAGTTGAAAAAATTATCAGTATTTACAGTTGAACTAATGTCCTCATTCCTAGTGTTACGATTACATTTTTTGCAGATGTGATCTCTGCCCATCTTAAGGTGTCTATCAATCCAGGTAACCCTTAGGGAATTTCAAACTGAAACCTTTCTTCAATCTAGGAGAGTAGAGTTACTTTTCTCTGTCCATGTTCGGGGACATATTCTTGATTAATTGTTCAGTTATTGCTCGTCCAGTTTCTACTGAGAGGGAACATATCTGTACCACCTGGCCTAAAATTCACAATTATGTTACTCTTGAAACACATTGTGATTGTAACAACAAAGGTGATCTTTGATTGGAAATAATAAATATTGTATTTATAAATTCTTGTGAATTTTTATGCTTGTTAGATTTGGGTATTTTTAAAATTTAAAAAGATTTGTTTTTTAAGTCGGTCTTCTAAGTGCAGTGTCCATTTGGGATGTGGGCAATCATGACTCTCCACAATTTCTTGTCCTTTGTAGGTTTTAGTAAATTTTATCTTTTTACTATTTCTCCTAATCCCTGTTTTGTCAACCATGTTCTGCTTGTTAAGTGGCTTATGCACTATTTTCCTTGGTCTCATTAACTTTCATTATGTCTTTTGAGTGTTAGATTTTACAAGTATTCTTTCCTCATTATGTGCCCTAGAAATTTCAATTCTCTCTTTCAGATGTTAATTATACATGTCCTTTTTGTTTTTATTTCTCTCTAAAATTTAAGCCATAATGAAATGCTAATTTCTTTCCTTTCCAATCACTATGGGCAGCAATTTTTACTAAAATAAATTTTCATTTAACCTAAATGATCTAAGGCTTCAAAATTAAAGAAACTGCATTCCTTTTTTTTTTTTTTTTAAATATTTCATGGTTTTCACTTAAAAAAAAAATCATGAGAAACTTAAAAAAAATATTATGCACTCGATTCATAATTATTAATAATTTTTTCATGAAATATCCCTACATATAGACAGTGAAATGAGAATAGTCTATACTCTTATATTAAATAAAGGGTTCAGTTTGAAATTCCTTGAAGGTTGCCCAAATTGATAAGCACCTGAAGAAGGTTGAAGGCCACACAGCCGAAATGTTGTGATAATAATAAAAATAAAGTCTGAATGTAAATGATAATTCCTCATTCCAGAAATTCAAACAGAAATCAGTCATGGTGTAAAATTTGAAAAATAATTTTCTGTATGCACAATTTCAAAATTGTGTAATCTTTGTTACAAAACTCTTGATAGTTAAGATAAATGTTTATTCAATACTAGATTTGCAGTAAAAGGTATTTGCTATATGACTGTTGACAAGAACAATAAAAATTACTTAACAATTATTTTATAATAATCTGTTTAAACAGGGAGATTTCTTAATAGGTGCTCTTTTTATTTTTTATTTTTAATTGCTCTAGCCTGACTCTTGTAAAGATAGCACATGGCAGCAGGAGTTAAGTACTTTCTGGAACAATACAAGGAATCAATCATTCTTCAGAGTATCTTTAGTGATGGCACAAATAAACTAGTTCTATTTGAGTTCTGGAGTGAGCTTTAGAAACAATAGGCATTCGAGGCAAAGAACCTCATCAGGATTGTGATGATGGGATTAGCTTTGTTTTAGATGTATTGAATGATACAAGCCAGTCTTCCCTCATGCAACACACACACACACACACACACAGTGCTATGGATAAATTGTTGTCTAAATTACACAAAAATGAAAATAACATTGATATCTCATTTTAACAGATATATTTACCAAAATTACACAAAAATATCTTAAAATACTAAAGAGTAAATTTATTCATGTAAAATTGTCATTAGCTTCAACTACAACCTCCAGATGACTTCGGAATCTCCTACAACTCTTCTGGACAATCTCCTTGTTTAAGTTGGTGAATGCTGCCATAATACTTGCCTTCAGTTTATCTTTGGTCTTACAAGGAGTTTTGTTGGTCTCTTGCTCACCTGTGCTCCACACATAATAATCAAGTGGGGTTGCAGTCTGGGGAGTTAGTTGATAAGATGTAAGTGGTGATGTGATTGTAGAAATTGTCTGAAAGCCATGACTGGATTCTCCTGCTTGTGTGGCATGGTGCAGAGTCCTGTTGCCAAACATAGGATCTTCCAGCAGCCAATCTTTTCACCCAGGGCAGCACTATCTCCTCAAGGCACTTGAGGCTCTCACCAACAAATTTGGGAGTTCTTTTCTTATCAGAATGATCAGTGAGTTTTTCAAGCTGCCATATCTTTATAATCACCATTAGACTCATCCAACTCTTTCCAAATACTCAGTACTGTCCTCAGATTGACACCCAAACATTCTGAAATGTCTGTAAGGGAGCCCCCAGCATGAATGCCAAACAGTACAACGAGCTGTTTCCAAATTTCTAGCAGAGTGAATTGCATCATGGTGGTCTTTTTCTCATAGACGACCCTATTATACTTTTTCTCAAAACTGACCCTACTATACTGTGCAGTCGACAAAATCAGAACAACATGCATGTGCAAAATTAAAAATGTAAAATGGTGAAAATTTACCCATTGCACCCTCTCTATATTTATATGCTAATTTTCCTTTCTGTCTGGCAACCATCCTTGGTTAACAGGAAAATAATATAAGCCAAAATATCTGACCCTTTAAAGTCATTTTTATGACTCCTTGTGTATTTAAACCGAATGCATTTTCTAATAAATGCTGTATTTTGAATGGACAAACACTTTAGATTTGAAATTTGATCATCTTGCCACCAGCGAAGTGACAGGTACTGAACTAGTAACCCCCTCCTCCACCAAAATGAGACATGTTTAAAATCTGATGTTATTATAGTTCACTAAACATCTTTATCTCTACAATTATATAATGTAAGGATGACTAGAACTATGGCCATCTGTGGGATAAGGTTTGCATGGTATAAAATAACTCATCATCCACAAGGCCATGTGAATATTTTTAAACTCTTGTCAAGGCTGGACAGTGTAGACTGGGTAGCAGCAGTCCAAATATGGCCGACATACTCCTTTTTTTTTTTTTTTTTTTTTTTTTTTTTGGAGTGATACAAAGGAACTAAAAATTTTTCCTGTATTTATAGCAATGGTATGAATATACAATTTTCATCTGAGGTTGATTTGGTTTATAATTTATAATAGTAACATTATCTGTTTATTTCTGGAAGATCCCCCACTGAGTATATATTCTAAGATTGTCTTTTTCACTGTCCTTCTTGTCTGCTTTTAAGACACTCAAACATTTTGATTGGCTATTTTTCAGTATCTCTAATTTCACCATCAAAGATCTTACTTATTATAAAATGCAGATTGTGTGTGTGTCTGTATGTTTATATAATGGATCGGATTTCCTACATTTTTCAACCGATTTCAACAAAACTTCATAGGACTGCATAAAATTACCTTGCGGTGGTTCTGACAGTGCCAAAAATTGGAAAAACACAATTGTTTTTGCACAAAATCAATTTGAAAACACAATAAAACACAATTCTGTCGCCAGAATGAAAGGGGGACAACTCATATCGAGTTTTACTTATTATAAAACCCAGGTCATTTGTGCGTGTTCGTTTATATATGGGATCGGATTTCCTACATTTTTCAACCGATTTCAACAAAACTTCACTTTTTTTTGGCAGGTAGTGTTTCTTATTGTCTTGCACACTTTTTTCTTTATTTTTACATTCAGAATGCTTTAAAAATTCCATTTACAAGACAATTGTTTATAATAAAATTCTATTCGATCGATAGACTCATAACGATTGAAAAACAATGTTTTTGTTTTGAGTTTGGGTTTGACCAATTCTTAAAAAAACAAAACAAAAAGAAAACAAAAAAAAAACTAATTAAGACATGCGTGTCTGTCAACCTTAAACAATAATCTTTATCAATTTTATTTTTCAGTCTTTATGATGGTCGATACTTGATCTATCTCTTACTGTTACATCCCTGGGCAATGCCGGGCTCTACTGCTAGTTATTAATACAATTCCACCCTTCTCTTTAAAGATAACCCATGTACCAACCACCTACCTGACTCTGTCCTTTCTAAAATTGGATCATTTTTAATGCAGAGATGCTGACTGATGTGAGTCCTGCATCCCTGATGCATAAAAGTCTTAAAGGGCTCTTTAACTTTCCCATCTGTGCATTCGATGGACACAACTAAAGTTTCCAATGAAAAGCGATACATTGCACATATTCTTTCAATTACTTTTTTACTAGTAAATCCTTACCTTGGTTTTCTTACTACTACCTTCATTGAGATGTGTGGGTCGCATGAAATAGAAATCAATGTTACCTTTCTAGAAACTTTCTTTGTGCATGTGTT